TTAAATATTGTAGTAACACATAACAGAAACCCACTTTATTTAGTTTTGTTCTCTTTTAGTTTTTCTTATGACATGCCTGTTATTTGTATTCCACTTTTTTCTTTTACTTTAGTGTTTTACTGTCCTTTTTTATTTCATTTTGACAATGGTTGTACCCTTTTCAAGCATCGTCGTAACTGTTTGCAAATGAAAGTTTGGAGAGTAAGTGTTAAACAAGCATATTATATATTTTCAAAACATGGCAACATTTTCCTTAATAATGGATTATAATTGATTAAAAAAAAAAGAATTAGTATATCGACATTAACAAAGCCACTATAAACCATATGTAAAGAGGAACATGGTAAAAAATGAATGCCAAATTTGCTATTTAGTGCTTCCACTTAGTTACCCTGCAACTTATCCCGCTACATTTGACGGCCTACTGTTTTACTTTGGAAAAACCTCACCGGAAGTTGACGTTTAACTCCGGTCAGCTTGAAAGTGTTTATCTGCTCTGAATGTCTGCACAGTGTAGCTCCAGGAAGCATTCTTGAGAGCGCACTGTTTGTCTGTCATATAACCTTATGGACATTTCTTCGTCCCGTCGCCGTGAGACCACCGGAGGGCCGCTGCAGGCTGGAAGTAATGTGGACGCCGCTGAGAGAGGAGGACTGTCCGTGCGGTTGGCAACACTACCGGGGATGAAATGGTCGCGTCTTCACTGAATCTCATTCTCACGTTCACATCCAGGCATCACTGTTAGACTTTCAAAATGAGGATCCTGACGTCTCTGCTGAAAAACGCCAACCCCAAAATCGAGTATTACTCCAGGTTTTCGCCGTCCCCGCTCTCCATTAAGCAGTTTCTGGATTTTGGTAGGTAACGCTGCGGGGCTGTCATCTTACAGGAGTGACTTGCTGATGAGGAAGACAACAAGAGGCCTTGTTTTAATTCCCTTCATTGTGTCTTTTTTTACTCTATATTTATGTGGATTATTGAAGTATCACAGGGCAAGCTCTTGGCTGTTTATTAATAGCAGACTCGCCCACAAGCTGCCATGTAACATTAGACTTGTCATGATCTGATGTGGCATTTGAATTGGATGTTTACTTTTAGTAGCCCAGCCATAGCGGTACACACACTGCACCATGCATGCTGATGGCTCTGCATGGCAGCTTTCTGTTGCAGGTTTGTTTACTATGTGAACATGTGACAACCTGCTCGATCCATGCAGGTTAACTTCACTCAGACTGGGACAACAGCACGTATGCAGTGGAGGATGCAGCTCATGTTACCTCATGTTACCTCATGTTTTTCCAAATGACTCAACAAGGTTTTAATGTGTCATATTTTCAGGTTTGTTTCAATCTTTAGGAGCTTTTTTTAGAGCCTGGGTCATTGTAGTTTAGTAGTAAGTCACATGAAGGGTCTTTGTTTTGTGTGTGCAGTGTTTTTGTTGTCTGCATGTAGAGTTAATAACTGTGCCAGGCTCTGACATGGGACTTGAAACGCAAGATGACAGTGTCGGTAGCCTCACTCAAAGCTTTTCTTAATCCATCTCTGATTAAACACAGTCATCGCTGTTACGTCATTTGTTCTCACAGCTGTGGATCTGAGTGTGCGCCACTTGTTTGGACCAAGAAACACAGCGAGGATCTTGTCAGCAGTAATTGTTCATGTCGTATTGGTGTGTTTCAGACAGGAACCACTGAGACATCGTCCTGGGATAGTCAGTAGTTGCAGAGTGTGTGTGTCGTTCCAGGGCTGAGTCAGTATTACGAGGTTTCACTACCCCATTTTAAAGTTAATGAGCCCCCTCTTTATATTGCTGAGTCAGGGGAAGCCTTTCCTTTGAGGAGGGATGATGGGACATTTCCTTTCATTTTGCTGCAGTTGTATGAGTTGCCAAACTTTACCATTGTTCGCTTTTTAATAGCTGGAAGAACCTGAAACAGATTTTCACTGTGTTTAGTGGGTTTTTTTTTCTCTGCTGAGGGTTAATAGGTTCATATGCTTAAAAGTGAGTCCTCACATGCCTACATAAGAGAGGCCAGGCTATTTGCACGCTGTGTAAATTTCATTTTGGTCGAGTTAAGGGTGTTTAAAAAAATACAAAGTCGGCTCCCACATAGTCATTTTCGAGAAAGACACTTAACAATACGCCACAGTAATTCAGTGGTTCCTGTTTATTTCTAAAACATAAATCCCCCCTAACCTTTTCATGACCGCCCCCTCTCTCTGCTGGGTAACAATATTTATGATTTCCTTGTATGGTTCAAGCTAATGCTGGTGGACAGTAAAAACGGTTCTAGCCAGATAGCAGAGTTGAAGGTATCATATTAAAGGTTGAAAATTGAAACTGACTGACAGCTCACAACCAATAGACTTTAGCTCTGGCTGCTGGTATGTTTACCACTTTGGTACATAACTTCACATATGAAAGCATTTTTTATTTGACGAATCTTTGTAACTTGGTGAAAACAAAACATTTCAGGAGTGTTTTCAGGTTCATAAGGGTTATATTTTGGCATTATGCCATCAGTTTTAACTGAACTGGTTTAAACTGGCAGTTATCTTGTGTTACCTTGGTTTTCACTTGGCAACAAGAGTACAAAATACACATTGTAATCAATGAGGCACCATGAAAATTAACTAACTACCTGAGTATACAGTATATCTTGGCAGGAAAAGTGACAACTGTGTCAGCCACTTTCGGTGCTGCAGCTTCAACAAAAAACTCATTTTGCTTTCAGGCAGGGACAATGCTTGTGAGAAAACCTCCTACATGTTCCTGCGTAAGGAACTGCCGGTGCGGCTGGCCAACACCATGAGAGAGGTTAACCTGCTTCCTGATAACCTGCTCAGCCAGCCCTCCGTCAGACTGGTGCAGAAATGGTGAGAAGCTTCCTCAAGAGATACCTTTTATATGGCTGTCTGGTGATAAGGTTTATTGCAGTGGTATTGTTAAGAAGGTGTGTGTAAAAGCTGCCTTTTGACCTCTGTTTGCTTTATTAGGTACATGCAAAGCTTTGTGGAGCTGCTGGATTACGAGAACAGAAAGCCAGAGGATGCTCACGCTCTGAATGAGTGAGTAAATATTGCCTTAATTAATCATTCATAAAAGCAAGAACGATACGTGTACAGTAAGTACAGCTCTGTGAGGCACCCAGCTGTTGTATGCTGGATTTATGTCTAGAGTTCCTCTTCCACTGCAGCTAATCCCTTTAATACACATCTCTGCTGACTGTACAGTTAACGGTGTGTATTTATACTATAACAATGCCTGTGTGATAAACACAGATAGGAATTTGGATAAAGCACTTTGTTTAGGGAGCACATTTCCAAGAATTGTTCACTTCACTGGAAATAAAAGAACAGGGATATTAAGCTTGGTACTAATCATGATTGAGCTTCTTTCTGGCCTTCAAAACAGCAAAAACAAACGTTGACGGTGGATCCAGTCATTTTATTTTTTTTAACTTTTAATTGGTATTTAAAAATGTAATAAATCACAGATACAGTTGGATAAACGCAATTTATAAACCCCCCCATGTTTCTGCTCCATCCCAATTCAAATTGGCTCAGCAGTACAGGGGAATATAGTGCAAAGAGTAAAGAAAGGGAATAAAATGAAATGACAACAATAATAACAAAAAATAAAATAATAATATAAATTAGAAAATATATACACTGTATACAATAAAATAGAATATGGTACTCCCGTATATATCTGTACATGTGCAATGTTTCTGAAGTATAGTGCATGTGCAAAAAAAAAGAGAAAAAAGTAATAGTAAAAGTACAATAAAAACTGTAAAAAGAGCAATAAAAATAAGTAATAATAAATGAGTAGTAAGAAAAAATATACAGAAAAAAATGATAATATGTAGAGACATATATTTCTCTAATGTCAAATGATGTATAAAGTCCTTAATCCATAGTTTAAAGGTCAGCGACTAAGATGTATATATTGTGGAGCTACTCCAAATATTGCAGTGGTAATGGAAAGGTTTTATGTGCACTTCCAAAACATCTGAAAAGGTTTCAAACATTGAAAGGGTGGATGGTGCTTGTTGGTACCGGTCACATGTAGGATCGACAGTAGGCGCAAATGTTTGCTTTGTTTTAGACCATGGAAGACGATCTAAAACCTTGAACTTGATCATTGTATGTCGTAAGCAAACAAAAGAGGAATCCAGTTTAAAGTTTTCCTCCAAACTTCATCAGGAGTCCCAATTCTTCCTCCCGCTGATTACTTAACAAAGATAGACCTTTTGGGTTAAGTGTCAAAAAGCAATCTAAAAGAGAGCTGGTGGCTGTGTTTTTTTTTTTTGAATGATAGAAATATGTGAAAAATATGTGAACTTGAGATTTAGGAAGGAACAAACTCATTTCACTTCTTTATTTTATTTTTAGTTTCCTGGAGCTCTTGATTGAGATCCGTAACCGCCACAACGATGTGGTTCCCACCATGGCTCAGGGAGTCATCGAGTACAAGGAGAAGTTTGGCTTTGACCCCTTTATCAGCAGCAACATCCAGTATTTCCTTGACCGCTTCTACACCAACCGCATCTCTTTCCGCATGCTCATCAACCAGCACAGTGAGTCCCGGAAAACCTGTGTGGTTTGTTCGGAATCCCGTCTCCGCAGCTAACCTTTTTGTTTATTTCCACGTCTTTCTGTGCAGCTCTCCTGTTTGGTAACGACACCAACCCTGCCCATCCAAAACACATCGGCAGTATTGATCCCACCTGCAATGTGGCTGAAGTCGTCAGAGGTGAGTCACAGAAAGTCACAGTTGTGGGAATATTTCGCTATCTGTGGGTTGGATTCTTTTTTTCTTTTTTTGCTTTGTTGCAAATATTTGAGTTCTTACAGGAAACGTTATATCACGCCAGCGACTATCAGCAGTGACACAAATCAAACAAACCCGAGTTCATCCGTACTAAAGGCGTGTTTACATAATGATAGTTTTTAAAGAATTCCAGCAGCGTGGATCCAAAGCTGCACTCTCTGTGACCCAGCAGGGAACAGAAAGCTACATTAGTGCCCTGTAACAAGAATCCAGATATAAACAGCACATGTATTCTACTCGTTCTACCCAGACTCATGTTGTTTTGCCTCTTGTATCAGATGCCTATGACACTGCCAAGATGCTGTGTGAGAAGTACTATTTGGCTTCTCCTGAGCTGAAGATTGAAGAGTTTAACAGTAAGATTTCTTTTTTCCTTTTGCACAGTAATTCATCCTTTTTTTTCCCTGTAATCTGTCAAACAGCTTAAATGAAACAATGTGCTCTGTTACCAAGTCAACTTAGAGCATTGTGGGCGCAACTTCTGAGTCCAAATATAGTCCTGTGATTACAATGTTCACCATCTCATTAACTTCAAAAGAAGCGGCTTTGTGTGTGATCTTTTCACATTCTTCTCTGCCAGTGAAGGCCCTTAAAAAGCCCATCCAGGCTGTGTATGTGCCCTCTCATCTCTTCCACATGCTGTTTGAGCTCTTCAAGGTGATGCATGCAGCATCGGTGGCCAGTCACTGTAACCAGTTCCAGCAGCATTTTTTAAAATGTAAATTAAGTTTGTTAATGTGACTAAAATAAGGATTTGTGCTGAGTAAATTAAAGTCTTGGGTGTTCAGAATCAATGCAGCCACAGTGGAGCCTTTATGAGAACAGTGCAGAGGGGATAACACCAGTAAAGGCAAAAGTCACTCTGGGTAAAGAGGATCTCTCCCATAAAGGTATAATTAGATACAAATCACACACAAACACCAAATCATTAACAAATATTTGTGTTTTGAGCTTTTTGTCTGTCTGTCTGTCTTTCATTTCGTCTTTCCAAAATCCGTCTACAGATCAGGTGCAGAGGAGGAGAGTTCCTCTGAGAAGTAGACCGTCTGTTTAACTACATGACTCCACGCCCCTACACCCAAGCCTAGAGCCAGGAGCTGTCCCACTGGTACACACACACACACACCACACACACAACACAACACACAAAGTAAATCAAGTATTAATCCTCATGACCATTTCAAATCTTTTTAGCCATACTTTTTTTACATACAGCATGACGTCTACGGAAATTTACATTTTGCCCCTCTCCCTCCCCCACCCAGGCTGGTTTTGGCTACGGTTTGCCAATTTCTAGGCTCTATGCCCGATACTTCAAGGGGACTGAACTCTACTCCAATGGAGGGTGTGGGCACCGATGCAGTCATTTATCTGAAGGTAAAGTGAGCTAGTGAAATGTGGACATGTTGGCAATGATGAATTGGTTTTTTTTTGTGTTCCAAAAACATGATACCTCAGCCCGGACCGAGGTTTGACATCTTGGGAATATGGTTTACTTTTTTGCTAACGTTACAGTAGATGAGAGGATTTATACCACTTACATCTGTGTGTTAACTATGAGGCTAGAGCCAGAGGTCGGTAGCTTAGCTTAGGCATAAAGGACTGGAAGTAGGGGAAGCAGCTAGCCAACCTACTTCCAAAATGTGACATCATATTCATGAATATAATATTATTATTAACAATATTCAAGTGACATCAATCAATATGAGTTACTTGAATATAAGTTACTTGTTTTTGAAGCAAAAGACTTTCACCAGTCTGTCTGGAGAAATATGAGATACTGAAAAGGGCACAGCTCGGTGCCGTCGTAATAATGAGTACAACAACATCATTTTCAATAATCAGTTATTTAAATATGTCCACGGTAACATTTTTAAATAAAGACACAGTATCATTATATCCATAATTAAGTCTCCAAAACAGTGAGCAGCAGGCAGCTAACTAATAGCAGATTAGTTCGCTAGCGGCAGTAAAAAAGAAAAAGACACTTCAGTTTTTGTATCAATAAGCAAATGAGATGTAACATGCTAATTAATGAGCTTTTAGAGGTTTCGGTGGACAGATCTTTGTTACCCTTCAATGTTTCCCACTGATTCCAGTCTTTATCCTAACCTTCCCTAAAAAGCTGCTTGGTGGCTTCATATTCATAACACACAGCAGCATTGAGCTTCTCATCTCACTCAGACAGCATATTTTCCCAAAACTACTATTCTATTACTTAAGTGTGACACTAGAGACCTTTAGCTTAGTTTAGCTTAGGCATAAAGGCTGAAAGCAAGGGGAAGGGCAACAATTATAACAAAATTAGAGGTGTTCTGTGTCGGTTAGCTCTTTCCCCTTGCTTCCAGTCTTTATGCTAAGCTAAGCTAATCGTCTCAGGCTTCAGTGTTTTTTTTCCCCTAAGTTTTAATGAATCAATGCGAGTCCTTACTGGCCCTTGTGTTTTGTTGCTCCATTTAAAGGCCCTGTCCAGTGAGTCCTTCGAGCGCCTGCCTGTCTTCAACAAGTCAGCGTGGCGGCATTACAAGACCAGCCCCGAAGCAGATGACTGGAGCAACCCCAGCAAAGAGCCACGCGATGCCAGCAAGTCCAAATACAAAGCCAACAGATAACTCTGCCTGACGTGCTAGCCCAGCCCTCTGCTGGGGTCCGAAATTCCCGCACTCTGCCCTCGAGCATGTACGATGAAAATTTTGCCCTTGGGTAAACGCTTGGTTTAGGATCAGACTTGCTTTTACATTCCAGTGGTTAAAGCTTTGGAAAAGATGGATGACCTTGATGTAAATCTGTACCCAATGGCAATGACATTCATCAGCGTAGCTTTTACTGTTGTGGCATTACCACTGGCTCTCCCAACATGGAGTTTAAAATGAACCTCTTCCAAATTATATATCCTCAGTGTCATTTAGTCAAGGTGAATCTTTACTAATGTTGACTTTATTTTCTCCTCTATCCGGTTATTATTTTAAAATAAATTCACTGCATCATGCAGAGTTTGGCCTGGCTCCTCTGTGCTGACTGAGCCACTGCTCCCTGTGGCTGAATACGCCATGCACTGCTGATTGAGTGTCTTTCTCACCACCAGTGAAGGCTTGTATTCTGTTTTCACCCTCTAAAACACAAGCAGAGTCAGGGGGTTTGAGTTTCAGTGCAAATGGGAAGAGGAGGAGGTTTCATTTCTTTCCTTTGGGAGACACTTTAACTGAACGCACAATTAGGCCAGTGTGCCATTGGCATAGTAAAGGCTTGTTTTGGATTTAATCCTGGGAAAGTGAAAGAGAGGATTGCGTAGAGATGAAGAAAATGACTCTTTTTGGTAAATTTATAAGAAGCAAATAGTACACCTTATTTTAAAATATCTCAAAGTCAGGATGTTTTTATGTCAAAGAGGGAAAGCCTTACTTCTGGGAACTTATAGCATAGTTCAAAGTTCATTTATAATTCATTATAGTATTTTGTTTATATTTTACTACTTCTTCATCTTCAGTCATACATTTAACTAAAGACCCAGATGCAGACAGTCAATCGGCAATACTGACCCTCATCAGACATTTCTGCTTGCAAGTCAGCTCTGCACCCCGATTTAACAACTACTAAAAGGACCAAAAGGAGCATCTGTAGGATGCTTATAAAAAGCCACCGTCTCAGCTTTGTCTGTCAAGTAGCTTCAACCACACCAGCATGATACATTGTATGGACCACAGAGAGGAATGGACTTGTTGCATCTAACATGGACTATAAAAGTGGGACTACATCATCACATCTGCTTTCTGCCCTTCATCCTGCAAACCTTTTACACCTGCCGGGGTGGATACACAACATGCACACAGCTTGGATTTTTCACCCTAACAATGCTTCATCCAATCAGCTTTGTGTCTCACTTGTAGTATTTACTAATCCTTTACAGTCTTTGAATGAGTTTGAACAAAGCGTGTGTATTTTTAAAATGTGCTTTTTTTTTTTTCTTAAGTGAAAAGGAATTTGAAGATACAGCTAAAACCCAGAAGGGAATGATCCGTGACAGGTTTCACATTGTTTTATCAAGGAACAAAGACACAGTTAAATAACTACTTTTTAAGGCCTTTGCACTGTTTTCTTCTACGTTTCATCTTTGACATAGGAACAGGATTACTTTTGACTTTTAATTATTATTATTATTCAAGTGTGTGGACAGTCACTTTAATTTTTCTTTATTTAAAGAATAGAAAAACAAACAATGTTTGGAAAAGTCCGCAGAAGGAAATGTGGTTAAAGGAACCACTAATTATTGGGTACTGAAGTATTGCTTCTAACCATCTGATATTTGTCATATAAATCGTACTGAATAACGTTTATAACACACACACACACATACATTTTTCCTTCAAATAACTTTCGTACAATCATATCAAGAATTTCTTTGTTAATAGAAGATTATTTATGATGAGGTGAGTTTCCAGGTCACCACTCCAAAACCTTCATAACAGTGTAATTTTGGAACTACTGAAAAAGACCTTAATTAAAAAAAAAAAGGGGCCAAGCCAGGTTGTTGTTTCTATAATCTAAAGTGACTTCCTTTTCTCATCTCCTTTAGGATTGTAGATGAAGAATTCATCCTTTTCGGCTTCACTGTAAGATTTCATCACTGCCAATGCCTTCGTAACCTGCCAGTCTCGCTGAGTGACGCTCAGTGGCAGACCTGCTGTAAAGACAGAGACAACGGTCCTCTTCATTTAAAAGCCTCAGTTCAATGTGTGGTCTCCCTGCAACTGATAGTCACATTTAAAAGCCAATGACTGAACAAAATTCCCACCTTTGTCAAAGTTTCAGTGTGTGATTTAGAGGCCCGAGGATGTTTGATCTTCAGTAGCTGTCAACCTTCACTGTTAAGGACTGTTTCTGTACCTACAGTATTTTAGAAAATATTGTGTACATAACTATTAATAATGTGTTTGCTGCCAGTGTGGAGTGACCGCTTTTCCATCCTACTGTACCCACAGCTTAAACAGATGTATTCGTATGCATGAACTCCTCACTGTGGAGGTGGTCACGCAAAGATATGCAATTAATGCAACATCAACATACGTATACCAAAAAGGTGATAGAGCAGTCTAATGACGTGATCCAGCATGAGATCCGCCTACATTGTCAAACCTGACAATAAAGAAAATTGCTGTTGTGTGCGATCCGTTTCTGATTTTATGCACCTCGTGTCCTGATAAGACTGTGCAATGCACTTTAATTCACATTCAGTTATAGATTTTTGATTTATTTACATATCAAGCCGTTTGATCATTAAAATTTAAAAAATAAAAAAAGACACACATTCCCAAAGTTTGTACATATAGTGCAGGTTAACATGTAGTGCGTACAGGACATTAAGGTCTCTACATTGCATTAGGGTATTTATTGTATTGTTGGGGTGGAAGAGAGGTCTGCTCCGGCCTGGCATGAGCGTGCAGACCAGAGCAAAGAAAAAGAGAAAAAAAAAAAGTTATTACATACATTTCCAGTAATAGCAAGTAAAACATTAGAGGGATGTTCCGGCTTTTTAAGGACCTGACAGTTCACCTGGAGGGATTCAATTATTGTATATTTCAAGTATCATCAGAGTCCTAGAGAGAGGCTTGTATCTCCAAGTTTGCCGGGTTTGATTAACAGCTGACATCATATTCCAAAGAGAAAGAATGTCTGCTAAACGTTGATGGATAAAACATGGAAAACTCAAAAATACATGGCTTTTTTAATGTTGAAAATCCACAAATGTTTCTACTTATTACAGTAAGATGTGATATTTGCGTGGACTACTGAAAGACTGGTGAAGAAAGATTTGTGTGTTTGTATGGCATGTGACTAGAAATGATAGTGATTACATTTACTCTTTACTGTAGGTTTGGTCTCAAAGACTCAGTTTACATTCAAGAAGCTAATAATTGAAGGCTGTTTTGTCTCATCACAATCAGTTTTTGGAACCATCTAACAGGCATTTTACAGATTAAGCACAGTCCAAAATATAGATCGTAAAGGGCTCGTTTTCATCTATCATTTCTATTTTCATTACAAAACAATTTTTTAAAACTAGGATTATATTGTTCGATTTTAAACAACGCGATACAACTGAGGTGATAAAAAACTTTGGTTTTCCATATTCAGTTGTTTTTCACTGGACCTTTGTTTGCACTAAGGCGGCTAATTTTAGTATTTTTTTCCTAGGGATTAGTTTTAATCTGTCTTTGTGGTTAAGTGGTCATTACTGTGGCATGGGAACAAGTGAATCAAGGATTTGGGGTCTCTGAATTTTATTTTCTTTGTCAATAATTTATGCTAAAGTGGTGCAAACTAGCACAAACTATGTGTTTGAGTGCCAAGAGGTTGTCCAACACTTCACTAATCTAGGGTGTGCAGTGTATTTCCTTTAATTCCTAACTCATCCTAACAAGCACAAAATTACACAGTGATGAATGAATCCAGTTACTGTCGATTCACTGAATGTCACACACACAATGTTCTGTAACTTTGTGCCAATTCACATCTAGTGGTCACAGTAGTTACAAGATATCTTGGCAACTTTAAAAAAAAAAAAAGCTAAACTATACAGAACAGGAGAAAAAAACAATGAAGTGATATTCTGAGCAGGCTGTTGGGACAGTCTCTATCAGCACTGGACAACCCAAAGCAAATCCTCTTGAAAGATGCTGCAAAGCATTCTGGACCGCCTTACGATATGTGACACTGTTTACATAAATCGTCTTCCTTTGTCCTTCTTCTGTCTGCGTGGTTGACCAGACAACAGAGACAGTGATGGCTTCTTAGCTCTGCAGCACAAAACTTCATTTCCCATGATCACCGTCTGCCTTGCATATTAGCAACTTCCTTGAGGAGAACTGTTTCAGTATCCAGCCAGTGTTTGTAGGAATATAAGTGTTTGTGTGTGTGTGTGTGTAGTGTCGTGTGTGTGTGAAATAAAACGTATAATCTAAGATGAAAGACTGACAGATGACGTGTCAAAAGTGGCGTGGAGCGTTATCAGGCAGTGTATTGTGAGTGGAGTTTGTGGGTGTTTGTGTGTGTGTGCAATGTGTGTGTTCAACAGTTCATCTACTTCTCATCTTCATCACCTTCACTCATGCTGCTTATAGAGGCAGATGCTCCTTTGGGGGAGGTTGGGGGCGAGGGCCGTGCATTGTGCCAGCGGGCGGGGGGAGACGGGGGTGACGGAGATCGCAAGGGGGACAGTTCGCGGGGAGGACTGTTGCAGGGCGACTCCCGGGGGGACAGAGCGTAGGACAACATACGTCCACTGCGCTCCTGAAACACCTGTTTCTGTAGAAAGAGAGTGAAGGTTAGAAAATACAGCACAAGGGATCAGGAAGAGCTGACAGGTATTTCCTTTTTTAAAGAGTCACTCACCCAAGTCCCATCAGGTCCAAAAAGTTCTAAGAAGTTGCCGATAAACTCCCGAGATTTCTCTTCCCACTTCTGAATGAGATCGTGACTCTTCTCCTCCACACGGTAAACAAAATGTTTGCTCTTCTCCTCAACCGTGCGAACCTTCTCCTTCATCCGGTCCACTTGGTTCTGCAGCCGGTACTTCTTTTCCTGAGGGGGGATTTAATGTTGAGGAAAAACCATTATGTAAGTGTTATGTAAGTGAACTCATTACAGAAGAACCGGAACCTCAGACGACCAGTTCCAGTTAAAATCATAATGTATGCCAGTGTTTTTGGGAAATATCTGTCTCAAAATATGTCTCACATGTGGTTGTTTGAATTTGTCCATAAAAGGGCAAAACAAAAGCCCAGTAAGTGTGTATAAAAGCTACAGTTTACACTAAATATAATTTAATGTTTAGAAATTTGTGTAATTGAAATATTTCTTTAACTAGCTTTAAAACCATTTTGTTATAATGCTACTGTACATTTAACTAGCCTCTATTTTCTATACAACAACTGCAGCAATCAGCATTAGATCATTATGGTGACATGTAGAATTAATCATGGTCTTACGTTGATGTAGCTGACGTTAAGCTCCTTGGCCGTGTAGCCACGTTGGAGGTTGCGTCGGGCGTAGACGTCATAGTCTCTGACAATTCTGGTAATTAAGTCAGATGTTGAGATGCCCTCTGTCCGTTGTGTAGGCACAAACATCCCTGGTATACACACAAATGAATATGAAGACTGCACAATATGTATTTTAATACATACATTTATTTTATCTGGTATCACACACTGACCTGCCTCCTTGATGTGTTTATAAACATCCTCACTTCCTGCTGAGGAGTATGGGATATCATCATGAGCCACAAAATCGATCTGAGGAACAATCAAAGGTCACCCGTATGGCAGAAAACGCTTCTCTAGCATGCAGACATGAGGTAAAACAACCTCACGTGACCATACACAGTAGAGTTTTGCAAAATATGCACAGTACATGACAAGGGTTTGCTCATAAACACATGCATCCACATGCAATTAGTGACTGATAGTAGTATTTATGTGTATTTAACTCATTTAGAGCTACGTTTGGCTTTAGGATGTTTTGTGATGCTTTGTGCACAGTTTAAACATCAGACACTGTAAACAACCACACACCTTGTGTTTCTCTAGGAACTCGGGTGTGAGAGTCCAGGGTGCGTCTCTCAAAATCTCGTCGACATAGCGGCAGTGTCTCAGTGCTTCATAACGTTCAATCTCCGTCATGACTGTGAAACCCTTGTACTTATGGGTCAGCTCATCACTGCACACTGTTCAGCAACATGGGAGAGAAAGCCCACAAAACACAGAAGCACATAAATCCCTATCACTTACTGATAAACCAGTATGGGTTATTTTGAGCAGTGGAATTTCAGGGTGTATATGTGTGTTTATGTGTTGTCAGTCCTACCTCCTACTATGAGGTAGGTGTTGGGAAAAAGGTTCTTGGCCTGCATGAGAGCGCGAGCATGTCCGGAGTGAAATAGGTCAAAAATCCCATCTGCGTAGACTCTGACCGGCCGATCCACTGAAAATACACAGCAATACAGCAACACATTTATCAAAACTACTTTAATACTAGAATACTAGAACACTTTAACTACTTGCACATCATACTGGAAGTAATGGCTCTGGCTGAAAAGCCCCAATTTCTCTTTAGGTTGTTGATTTATGAAAAATAAATGTATTAATAACATTCTTAAGTACTTTAAAATATAGTAACTATACTCCTACTCCAATAATATTGTCTCTTTTATTCCACACACTCTTTATTGTCAAAACCTGGCGGCTACATTTTCCACAATGCAAATCACCTGTCAAAAGTTGAGTTGGAGATTTGCATATATATATATATATATATATATATATATATATCTATGGGAGATTTGAACATGTTATGCTAGTAGAAGCTAATGTAGCCTGGAGTAGCCTCAAGCCTCATTTTCAAACTTGTAGTCCTCAGCCCCAACCAACGCTGACTCAAGTGACATCACTTGAGACTTCAAACAGCTCCCTCTGGAGCCACATTAAGGTTTCATACATTTTACAGCTTAGCACAATATTATTAGTAGGATCACTGGTAATAATACTGTCACAGTAAAGAATGTATTGGGAAAAGCAGTGGCAAACATAGCAGGAGTAGCAGAATCTGAATAATGGTAGCACCTGGTTATAGTAATAGATGTAGCTAGTAGAAACAGTGGTAGCCACAGTGCTAGTGTTAGCATCAGTAGTAAAGTGTATCAGCAGCAGCAGTAGTAGTAGTTGGGGTTATGTGATACTATAGGACAGTAGCAATACTAGTAGTAGTTGTGGTAGTAGAAGTAGCTTTAGAGGTAGTAGTAGAAGCAGTGGCAGCTGCATTGCAGTAGTTGTAGTGCAGTAATATTAATAGTAGAAGTAGCAAATGTAGTCGGAGAAAGGAACAGGCACCAGGATGAAGTGACTGAGGGGGGCTGTTTAAAATCGCGAGGGGGGTGTTTTTGTCATTAAAAAATAATGCTAAATAACAACAACATAAGGCTACTGAAAGAATGCATTATTAAACAGAGCACTCACATAACAATGTATCACTGGCAGAGCGCTAAATATTTTTAGAATTTATGAACGAAATCAGCAGGAGAGGACACGTAACAGCTGACTGTCCCTTCACTTCACTGTCGTTTCCCTTCTGTCTGTTGATTGCTAATATGGGAGAATTAGAAAACTGCTTATAACCATGAAAAGCAAGCAGGTGAAGAAACCAGTGATGTGTGATTCTGTCTGCCTGTCTTTTGATCTCCTCCGCCCTGCTTCAGTACTATGGACAGCGCAGACTAATAGTAAAATTGGCCAATCATTTTGTTGTTTTTGCTATTTTTCCTTTGAGAGCAGTACAAATACAATACATTTTAGCCCCTCTGTGCCACCGGGCCTGGAAATGAAGGGTTGAGGAATATAATGAAAATAAACACAAAAGCTGGGAGATGGAGAAGCTGGAGGAAATGGAACATAAAGGCCAAACAGGAGATGGTCTACTGTACCTGGGGTGCCTCTGCGGGCCTGAGCGATGGTGAGTTTCTCATGAGGGGCGCGACAATCACAACTGGTCTCCCTGGCAAATATGGCAGGCTCTGTCAAAGTCTGAGACAGAGAGAGGAGAAAGAGACTAGATTATAGATAAAATACAGCACCTTATTTTGAAGGAGACTGGTTTTTACAACGTCTGAAAACACGTAGAACCTCAGCCACCCACCCCTACAGTGAAACACAATATGTCTCCCTTTCCTATTACAGTAACCTACATCAAGTTATTGACCGCAGCCGACGCCTGCTCCATATTGGGACAATGGATTGTGAGACAGACAGGACTGCACTCAGTGTTATTGATCACTCTGTGTGTGTGTGTGTGAGCAGACATTTACTTCTGCACATAGCCTATGTGTGTGTTAACATGTGGCAGATAACAAGGACACAGCTATTGATCAATGGTTGAAGGCCTCTCAGAAATGAACAAAAATTCAAAAGGTAAGATTAATCAATAAATGTATATGTATAAATGGAAATTAAGCAGGAAGTAGAAACAAAGACAAAGAGAGCAAGGAAGGACAGATAAAGGATGATACTTGTCTAAGCTACATGAAGGTTAAAGTGTTGCAGTGTGAGCCTGCCTGAAAATTTGTCTTTGTATGCCATCTGTTGACTGCAGGGAATATTCACTGAATCTCATTCACACCAATAAAAGAGAATCAGAGTCGGCACAGAGCAGAAAGCTGTGGGAGTGTGGGAGGAGGATGAAAAAATGGAAACAGATTCAGTCTCTGTGGACAAGACCGGCAGCTGACGTCAACATATCCTCCAGGAACAGCAGCAAAACCAGAGTCTGGTATGACAACATGCAGGGACAGACCAATGAACATGAAAGGCGGCCTTCTCAGTTATATAGTGCAGGTTCAAAGAGCGTTAACTGGTGAATTTGTTTAAGGAAATGAAGCTTTGAGCCAGAGCTAAACAGAAGAGATTTTTTACTAAATCTGTTTTTCAAACTACTTCCCAGCCCTCCCAGGAGGTATCTAGCGATGCAGACCGTTTTTATTTGCACCGATTTTAGAGATATTTGAGATTTATGCCTACACCCCAGAACATTTTCTCCAGAAATATGTTTCCACCTCACTGTCAACTGTTTTTTAAAGTGACTTTTTCTTTAAAACGGTCATTTCAATAATGGCTACAAAATATTCTGAGATGTAAAGTGTTTGTTCAGACATTCTTGCCATAACACTTAATTTCCATAAACCCTTTTAAAGGTGAAATAAACCTGCCACGTTGAGCTCTTGTGTCATCCATCTCTGCATGTGAGGCAACAACAGAAGCTATGAACAGGTGACTCCCTCAAAGACATTAAGTATTAACAGGCCAGGTTTGATTTTGCATACATAGTTTAACAAGGTGCTATTCAGCTAGTTTAAACTGTATCAGACCCTGACTTTTCCTAATTTAATGGTAATTGCTTCTAAGCATGATGTTGACCTGAAGACATGTTGCAGAAGGCCAGACTCCAGCTGTAGTTTAAATACAATGGATTTTCATCTGCTCTGAAGCTGTGATTGTTCATACGAGGTCTAACAGGGAGCCCAAACAACATCAGTCATGTAGGATAACATACATAACATTTCCCTGACTGTGAATGACTTTTTGGCAAAGAAAAGGAACTTGTTCAATTATAGTCCATATGAAATATTTCCTTATTTGGTGTACTAATGATGTGCAAGCTCAGTTTGTGGCAAAGGGGAGGATACATTTATACATATTGGCTTTTAATAATCTTTTAATAAACAATTATTTCAAGCTTAAACATTGGTAGATTTTATAATAACTAATAGTTTTACACATGCAACAATTAGGTGTGCAGGACCCCAAGCAAGTAAATCCAATGTCAACAAAGCATAAGGGTTATAGGAATTTGGTGCTATAAAATCACCAAAAATTGCATTACATTTTTAATTATACAGCTAAAAACACACCAAGCATTCACTGGTATGAAGATGTTTATCTCACAACGTGCCCCGTGGTCAGCTGTGGTAATGAATTGCCATTTCACTTTCACTTCAAAATGAATCGCTGCAAAATTAGAGATGTGGGCAGTAATTTAAAGGTCTGGAAACTGGATATTTAGGGTGGAGAAGCAGATTTTAATTATTTAAAGTATCAGCTTATATGAAGGCAGGCAGCTGTTGTAGCTGCAGCTACAAGAGGAATGGAAAGAAGGCACGGATCTTTAACACCCGAGACTCCTTTAATGGTATCTTCGTTCCATTTACTTGCGCATCGTTCTCCTGTGTCTTTTAAAGTCGGCTTTGAACATTTTGTCAGGTCATGTTAAACGTACCATGATGTGTTTCCATGGGAGAGGTATCAGAGCTGAATGCTAGCCGGCAGAGCTATACAACTACAAAGCTGCAGAGAGGCTGTGCTGAGGGAGCATCCTTAACACCCATGATTCCTTGGGCACGGTGAGAACAGAATGGTGGCTTGCAAGCAGCAAAGAGCAGATGGTAAAGCTTATACCAACTGACTGAAGGGCACATGGGCCTATCAGGACGAGCGGTCAGTAAAGCTCTCTCTGGCACAGGCAAAGAACATCTGGCATAAGACGGATTAAAGCAGGAAAAAAAGAAACACGGGGACACAAGAGGGCACGAGAAAACGACAGCAGTAAAGACGACAAGAAGGCAAAAGATGGGCCGTTTGGAAGAGACAAACATGAACGCCAGGATGAGGAATCACACCAAAGAGAAGGAGAGACAGCAGGCTCTCTGTCCTTGCTGCCGCAGTGTCCCTTCAGCAGGACATTCACGCTGTGTTGTCCACCGTGTGAACCCCCTCCTTCATTCAAACGTGTCCACTCAGCATTCTGAGCATAACCCACAGCCTCATGCTATAGGGGATCTGTTTCGTAACAGGGGAGAAAGCAGGACCCTTTGTCTTCCTCTCCCTCCCTGTCACGCACACTCCGCACACACACAGCAACACACAAGGCAACGCACACACGCTCAAAAACGCCCTACCGTCCGGGGATGGGGGCAAGTGTGTTCAAGCTCCTCCATGATTCCCAAAGACTCATGGGATGTGGCTGTGGTCCCTCTGTTATGTGACTCAGCATCAGTGAGACGATGCCTCTCTCCTCACCACTCAGTCTCTTTCTCCTTCCTCTGTTACCCCCGCCCACTCTCTGCTCTGCCTTTCTGTCTGTCCTCTCCTCCTCCTCCTCCTCCTCATCCTCTCTGATCCCCTGCTGCAGAGAGGAGGAAGAGAAGAGGTCCCACTCTGCAGCTATTTCCTGCGACCACAAAAGGGGTAAACTCTCTGATCTTAATTTAATATGGTTGCAAATATGTTCAGTTTGATTTGACCTTTTTGTATTTTATTTGGACGCTCTACTGACGGCTTTATAAAAACAAGGGAAGAAAACACCTACAGCAGACTGCCTTGTTGTTAATACCCTATGTGTATTTGTGCTGTATATTATGATGGTCTGGAAGGGACAATGGCAGTAGATGATTTGAAGTCAGTCATCAATGATTTAAATGCAAGTGTATTAGCATCATCCTGAGAGCTTTGTAAGCTGTGAGTGAGCCATCTCTTCAATAAACGATCTTCGCTCGCAGGGCTGATGCGCTCTCGCCATGGAGACGGAAAAGAGGAGAGAGCTCCAAGAAAAGCACCAATCAGAGAGCAGACCAGCAGAGCAGTTCTGATTGGTGGAGCGGGCCATAGCACCATCAGTGAGATGATACTGAGTACCACTACATTGGGTTACAGTTGAATCTAGAGTCTATAAATGCACAGAGTATGGGTATGGTTTTTCCTATAAGGCTTTGTAAGAGTGCAGCGGACTCTTTATGGAAAAAACCTCATAAATGGACATACATTTCAGCGCTTTGTAAAACTTAACCGAACATTTTCCATATTAACCGTATTAGTTTCACTATCAGAGTTTAGTTATGCTCTTTATTTGGCATATCTAATGTACCTTGTTGTATTCAGTTGGATATTTAGCTGTCACAGTCAAACCCAGCTGTGAGTAGTCTGATCTGCCTTATGTACTACTGAACAAATGTATGTATGAGAGCATTGATCTATGAGACTATTGGCACAAAAATTAAATTGTTTTTTAGCTTCAAACTGCAAACAACTTTTACTTTACTCTTCTTTTCTTTTCCCCACTACAGCTGGCAACTTTTCGTTGTAGACGAATCACGCAGAACTGGACTATAACTATGTAAAGCTTAGTAAAACTAAATCAGTCTGAATGCGTCGAGTAGGGATGCGTTGCTTACCTTCAGTGCTCCTCTTCTGCAACAAAGCGGCGCAACAGCTGCGCAACAGGAATGCGCTCTGATGCGTCGCTGTTTCACCATGGCGTCCAAAAACCCAAAAAGACAATGTAAAGTAAGAACAGCGATGTGTTTTCTGTCCGCTTTGCTGTCTAGTCTAAAGAAGGAGCCTGTCTCTGCTCCAGCACAGCGGGGAAAGTGCGGCAGAGCGACGACTGTCCGTCTGTCCAGTTTGTCCAGAGGACAGATCAGCTGCTCACCGCTGATCAGCTGCGACAACTGTGGGCCACGGTCCATTTAGCAGACCTTACAGTAGACCATACGGCTGTTTGACTATACAGTCACGACTACCCTGGAGGACCTTACTCATGCAATCTGCATTAAACAAGTGTTACAGCCTAAACAACAAATAATAACACACACCAAAACAGTTATAAAGGCTACAAACTACTTGCTACTGAAATCACCAATATGACAGGCCATTAGAAGCAGTCTAACATGCGGCATGAATTATCACAGTACAAACAGAGTTATGGTATAAAAGCCTAAATAGGCTGTGGGGATGAAGGACAAACCACGCTTTGTGTTTTCATTGTTGGACGCACTGTGTCTCTGTGGCCCCAATCTGGGACAGGAACCCATTGTGCCCTCCAGAGTGCCGCCTGGTCGCCATGGAAACGAGCTTCATCGGGATACACAGGCATGGACGTTGACTTTAAAAAAAAGAGGAAAAAAAGTAAAAGAAAGAGGGAGACCAGTGATACACCAGTGGCTGTTTGAGAATACTAATTTGAGGTTAAAGTTGTAATGTTATTCCCTGGAAAGTCAGACGCCCTGAACTTGAACTCCCTGTTTGAAACCTCAGACAACAGCCCCTGCTTGTCCATAGAAATATTATATTGGTGGAAAAAGTAGGCCGACCTTCCTTACAACCCCCCTGCATTGTTTTACACAAATCTGAATAATTCCTACTTCTAATGTAGGCTATGTAATTTAAAGAGTGACATGTTTCTGTTATCTAATCTGCATGCCAAATACTATATATTTTAAATTATACTATACTAATATGTTGTGTTTAGGGTACAAAATGCTGCAACCACCTCTTAACCAGTGGTTAAAAAGTTTACTATCTTTTTATAGATTGATAAAATGATTCCTGGAGGATCCCTCAACACAAGAACTATATATGTTTTGAAGGACTATGTGGACAAACTGTGCACCATTGCTCATTAGGCTATTTATTTCTGTTTTTTGTATAGCTTTTTTTTAAGAATACATAGTAAAGTAAGTAAGTAAGTAAGTAAGTAAAGTTTATTTATAAAGCACATTTAAACACAGCTATCACTGACCAAAGTGCTGTACAGAATAAGAAAAATAATAAAAAGTCAGCATTCAATAAAATAAAACAAATT